TTTCAAACAGCTGACCTTGCAGTTTGTGGCCCAACAATTAGCCCACCGCACTATTAAGGCACCTACAAAACAAGTCCCCTACCATGCCAAGGCTTTCAAAATGCCATTTAATTACTCAATTATTTGATGGATTCAATTATTCTATATGGTTTTACTCATTTGGTAATATACCAAGTACAAAGTGTGATTTTCACTTCCTGAGACTTCAAAAAGGATTTTGATTTCTATGACTTGTATCAATGAGAGTAATAAATCTACCGAAGGGGGAAATCAGAGATTTGGAAATGTAGGTGATACATTTTAAGATTTGTCTTAAAGTGCAATGCTGTCTGTGAGAGGCCACTATCTACATGCCTACAAGGAACATCAATACAACTATTTATAAATTTTCCCACCACTACAAAACCATTTATGAAGAAATGGAAAGATTCTACCAACTTCTTCAGTTCAAAATTGATCAAGCTAATATAGTCACAATCCATCGATAATTATTGGTAATTAGAATGTGAAAGCTGGAAACAAAGGAAGGATCGGCAGTTGGAAAATATGGCCTGGGTAATGGAAATGAAGTTGGAGATCACATGGTAGACCAACAACTTCTTTACTGCCATATCCTTTCTCAACAACATAAACAGTGACTATTCACTGGACCTCACAGCAGATGGAATACAAAGGACTCTAACTAACTACATCTGTTGGAAGAAACAATGGAGAAGTTCAGTATCACCAGCCAAAGCAAGGTCAGGGATCAATTAGGGAACAGATTATCCATTACTCATATGTAAGTTCAGGCTGAAGTTGAAGAAAATTAAAATGAGTCCACAAGAGCCAATATACAACCCTGAGTATATTCCACCTGAATAGAGAGACCATCTAGAGTCTGATTTGATATAATGAACACTAATGAACAGAGGAGTTATGGGATGATATCAAAAACATCATACATGAAGAAGGGACTACAGGGGCTGGCTGTCAGAAGACACGCTAAAGCTGTCCCTTGAACACTGAGTAGCTAAAACAAATGGAAAAGATGATGTGAAAAAAGATGAACAGGAAATTTCAAAAGGCAGCCCGAAAAGACAAAAAAATTATAATCAAATATATAAAGACCCGAATTTACAATACCAAAAAAGAACACACTCAGCCTATCTCAAGCTGAGAAAATTGAAGAAAAAGGGAATCAAGCCTGGAGTTATAATCTTGAAGGATTCTATGGGCAAAATATCTAATGCAGGAAGCATCCAAAAAAGATAAAAGGAATACAGTGAGACACGGTAGCACAACGTCGACACTCAATCATTTAAAGAGGTAGCGTACAATCAGGCACTGATGGTACTGAAGGAAGAATTCTAAGCTCCACAATGCATTAGTGAAAAACAAGGCCCCAAGAATTGATGGAATACCAATTACAATGTTTGAGCAAACTTATGCAGCAGTGAAAGCACACGTCTAGGCCAAGAAACTGGAAGACATCTCTGTGGCCAACTGCCTGAAACTCACTCATTGCTGTTGAGTCGATGCCAACTCACAGCAGACAGAGTAGGACTGAGTAGAACTGTCCATGTGGGTTTCCAAGACTAACTCTTTGTGGGAGTAGAAAGTCTCCTCTTTCTTCCACTGAGTGGTTGGTGGTTTTGAACTGCCGACCTTGCAGTTAGCGGCCCAACATGTAACCACTATGCAAACAGGGTTCCTAATTGACTGGAACAGATACATATTTATGCGCATTCCAAAGAAAGGTGACCTCAAAGAAAATGAGATATTAGCATCATATTAATTACCAAATCATATTAACATCAAAATTAAAATTGTGCTGAAGACTCTACTCCAGTAAACAGCTACAGACTCAGGAACCTGAAGGGTGTTGCTCTGACATGATGGTAGTGAGAATTAAGTAATGGAAGCCCTGTGACATAAGATCTATACTAAAACAAAATTTATTTTCCTAGCATGTACCTGTCATTCCAAGACTTGTGTCTGAAAGAATCGTTTCGCTAAGCCTATATGCATACCCTGAAAACAGAGACAGGGAGACTGGCGTTTGGAAGAAGGATCCCGCCCCCCTGCCACCACCCCGCCATTCTCCTTTCCCATACATGTGAAAATAAAACTTAGAATCTTTTGGGAAACAAAAAAATTTTTTGCTGAAGATAATTTAAAAATGGTTACATCAGTATATTGACAGGGAGCTGCCAGGTAGTCAAGTTGGATTCAGAAGAGGAAGTCAGATAGATCACAGCTGAAAGCAGAGAATACTAGGAAGATATATTTTATTGACTTTGTAAAGAAAGCAATCAACTCTGTAGATCTTAGGTTCCCAAATGCATTTGGCCTACCAACCTCAATTAAGTAAAAGGATTGTACTGACCTTGAATAGTTGCCAGTGTACTGTTGCTCATCAGAGCCGGGCTGAGCGCACCGCCCAAGGTTCCTGGATTGAGACTGAGTAAGGCACCTCTGCAAGTCCAAACAAAGGTCACTTTATTACCACGAAGACGAAGCTGTCAGCTTGACACCACCCTCAAATGGATGAGGAGCAGGAAAACCCAGCTGGGGAAGTCCATGGGAATGGCTATTTTCCATAGCCTCTCACATGGTGAGGGGCGTGCTTCATGGAGACTGCTTCCCTGGGTGCTCACGGGCACAAGGTAAAACAAGACTTAGATCCACGTCAAATTTCAAACTCATAACGTCACTTTGACTTCTCACTGAAGTACTTCTTTCTCTCTTTCTCTCTCTTGCCCCACACCCAGGCCCCCAAATGAAAACACTCCAGGGAAAGGGGTAGATTTTAGACACAGTTGACAAGTGTAATACAAAATGCGGACTCTCATGACTGCACCTCTCATCCATGATGGAAAACCAAGAGCAGAGAAGTGAGAGTTGAATGGAGAAAGCAGAGTGTCAGAAGCATTTGGGGCTTTCTTGGTGCCCCATCCCTGAGGTTCTCCGTGACTTGTTCTGCATTTTTTACATGGAAATAAAGGTGCAGCCACTTCAGCCATGGTCCAGGAGCACTTACAGAGTAACCCAATTCAAAGAGGTACTTGTGCAAAGAGTTGTTTTGTTATTATGATTAAGATATAAAAGTCTCTTCTAAAAGTCTTTCTCAGATGTGAGTGAGAGGGGCTCTCCTTACCCAGCTGCAAACTGAGAGGGTGCCATCAGGCCTGGGCTGAGTCCTGCAGCAGCAGCCATGGCAGCAAGACTGGCGTTGGCTGGCAGCTGTGCAGCTCCTTGGAGGGCAGCAGCTGCTGCTGCTGTTTGCAAGCCTGACGCAGTCACCATCACCTGGCTGGTCCCAAGAGGGGAGGACAGAGGAGTGGAGGTGGTCTGTGTTGTGCTGGTCTCACTGGCACTGGACGCCTCAGAGGCGGAGGCGGAGGCAGAAGGGGAGGGGCTTAAAGAGGGGGGTGTGACCGCTGAGGAGGCTGGAGGGGCGGTGGAGATCACTGTGGCCGTGTTGTTGGAGGGGGTGTCTGTAGTGCCTGAAAAAAGGGAATCAGGTTAGAGAATAACTCAGAAGGTGTTTTTGGACGTGTGGTGACTTTATTCCGTCATATTCTACAATCAGCTGAGTAAGTAATACACTATCTAATGACCTAGACACTACTTTTTTATTAACCTTGTTTGCTGATTCTATGATAATATAATAAACATTTCAGAACCAAAGCAATGCGCTCTACTGTAAGAGGCAGTAGAAATAAAGTAAGCGCACACTACACAGAGAGTAGCTACTCAAAAGTCAATCTTTTGTTCAAAATGTAAAATCTGGAAGTCTGAAGTACCACAAAAATAATTAAGCATGTTTACCTAGATGCCGCCATTACATTAAGTAATTTAAGTAACTACTCTAAAATAACTATCAGCTCTCAAAAAGCCCATTCTGGTTTAAAAAAAAATTTATAGTCATGTAAGCAATAAAATACAATATTACTTCATAAAGGTCAGTATGAAAAATGAAGATTGTTTGGAGATACCTTAAGAAAAAAAAATCAAGGTATCTAAATTTCTCTAAAATTCAAGAAAAACAAACATTTGGGTATAAGTGACATTAAAAGTATCACAAGTGCAAACTAAAACATATTCACGGGGATTTATAGAATGTCTCAGACCAGCATTGTCCAATAGAAATATCACACACATATTGTTGCTAAGGGCCTTTGAATCAGTTCCAATTCAGAGTACAACAACACATCAACACACTGCCTGGTCCTGCACAGACGCACTATGGTAATGGTTTGATTCCATTGTGTGGGCAGCCACTGTGGCAACCATCACATTGAAGGTCTTCCTCCTGATAACATGCCCAAGTACCATGAGACAAAGTCTCACCAACCTCATCCTCAGGAGCAGTCTGGCTGTATTCCCTCCAAGAAAGACGTATGGTACTGATTCTTCTGGCAATCCATGGGAGTTTCAATAGTCTTCACCAGCACAATTGCTTCCAGTCAGCTGGCCAGTTGGCAGTCTTCCACATCGCTTGGCATAGACTAGTTAGTGCTTCTAATTTGGGCATGTCTAGAGCTTTTTTTAGGTAGTAAGAAATATCTCTTTATAAGTAACTAGCAACTTGAAATTGTGACAGGAGGGGGAAATTCCAGTGTAGACTGCTCATACCTTTGAAAGCAGAGTATTAATTTTACCTGTTGTTCACTGAAGGCAACGTAAATGTGGGGGATAAATTGAGAGTTTTGAGATTCACACTTTATTTACAAGTAAAGAAGGTCCCTTATAAAGCCTAATGTGGAACAAGGCAAGCAAAATAAAGAAGTAGCTGCTGGCTCCACGGTGATGTAAGAAAGGAGTCCAGGCCACTGTCTTTTCACAATGATTTTGTTACTAAAACAAACAAACAAACCGAAAACACCACATGATTTCGTCAGGTGACATCAGTAAAATAAAAAGGATTTTCAACGTTTAGCAGTCTCTGGTCGAAGGTGCCCAGGATGTCACTTTCATGTCAGTGACAGCTCGTGCCCCTGGCCTCGAGCAAAGGCTCAGCACTCATCCAGAGTCTCTACTCGAGGAACGGAGAGGCCTCGAGCCTGCAGAGCCCGAGCTTGCAGCGCCGCTGCTTCTCGCTTGGTCTGCTGTTCCACCCTTCGCTCTTCTAGGAGTTCTTCAACAGACACTTGCGGGAGGGGCGTGCCCCTCGCCTTTTCCAAGTCTATTTCTCCTCGGAGGACCACATTTTCTCCTCTGACCACAAAAATCCCTCGAGGAATATCACCGTATTTTTTCCCCACATGAATACGCTCCATAGTCTGATGGAGCACTAAGTTAGCAAATTGATCAATGCTTCTTAAAAAGCCTATAGTGTCCTTCCATCTCGAAGCAGGACCAATGCTTTTTGTCGATGTCTTCGATGAGGCTGGCAGTGCCGGGCATATAGTTCATTTTGAGCTGAGATAAGGTTGCAAGGTATAGCGGCAACGGGCCAGTGAGGCCAACACCGCCTCTTCCTCCTACCGCAGTCGCAGCCTCGGCAGGACTGAGGCAGGGACAGGCTAGAGCTTTGTCTTATACCAATGCCTTCTCCAAAGTTTGGACTCCTTCAATACCATTGGTTCTTGACTGTGTTCTACCTTTGGAAATGGTTGTATGTTGGTCAAATCTTTTTGGCACAGTGACTCTGTGAACTCCTCCTTCCATTTTCTTTTGACGCTTCCTGTGTCATTCAATATTTTGCTCATGTTACTGTTGTTCTGGCAGCCCTGGTGGGGTAGTAGTTATGCGTTGGGCTAACTGCAGGTTCAGCAGTTCGAAAGCCACTCCTTGGGAGAAAGACGAGGCTTTCTACCACTGTAACGAGTTCCAGTCCCAGAAACTCACAAGGACAGTTCTAGCCTGTCTTATAGGGTCATTATGGTTTGAAATCAAGTCAATGGTAGTGAGTTGGTTTGGAATACTGTTGTTCGGTGCCTTAGAACAACATTCTGTACATTCAGAAACTTCCGGAATGGAAGAAAATTTCGCCTTGTACTGGAGATGGAGTGCATTCCACCAGGTCAGGCTGTTAATCAAGCCTTTTATTTAGAGGTTCTGAAAAGATTACGCAACAGTGTGTGACCAAAAAGGCCTGATTTGTGGCAGACAGAGGTCTGGTTTTGCCACCACGACAATGCACCTGCTTATGCAGTCATCTATGTGTGCCGGTTTTTGGCAAAAAACCAACAAGCCTCTCTTGCCCCAAACACCTGACCTCGTTCCATGAGATTTCCTTTTATTTCTGTGAGTGAAAACGGACATGAAAGGACAGCAGTTTGATGTACATAGAAGAGGTGAAGAAAAAATGAGGGAGGTGCTGTCAGCGATCCAGATGAGTTCGAAAAATGTTTCCAAGAATGGAGTTGCAGATTTGACAAAAGTATTAAGTGTAATGGAGAGTACTTTGAAAGTGATAAGGTTGTTTTGTAAAAAAAATTAAATACATAGCTTTGTGTGTGTGTGGGGGGGGGCTGATTTTGAGGGGTATCCCCTTATACACATAAAATTGTGCATATCCCAACAGCAATCTAGCTGAGAGGAAGTCCTATGAGGCAGAAGTAGGGCGAGCATGATGGTGGGGCAAGAGAGAGGTCAAAGGAAACAGGAAGGATCTAGGAAGCAAAGCTATGGATAGAGGTGTAAGCATAGGGGTGTCCATATGTAACTATACTAATCCATAAAAAGAGGTATGGGCCTATGTACATATATTTATATGGCAATATATTGAAATAGTGGACGGACTTTGGGTCTCTGCTCATACCCTCCCTCAATACAAGAACATGATGTTCTAATAAATTGGCAATCTGAGAAGCTCACCCTCTCCATCCTCCCCACACCATCGCTGAAGACAAAATGGGTGCATAAGCAAATGTGGTAAAGAAGGCAGATGGTGCTCGGCTACTAAGAGATATAGCATCTGGGGCTTGAAGTCAAACAAGCAGCCATCCAACAGAGAAACAACAAGCTCACATGGAAGAAGTACACCAGCCTGTGAACTCATGAGGTGTCAATGGGCCCAGGTAACAGACATCAGAAGACTCTTATCAAACAAACAAAACCAAAGGGTTGAGAATGAGGGGGGGTCAGGGCAGAGACCCAAAGCCCCTCTGTAGACAATGGAACACCTCCCACAGAGCGGTCACAGGGAAGGGATGAGTCAACCAGGGTGCAGTAAAGCACCAATGAAACACAGAACATTCCTCTGGTTCCTTGAGGCTTCCTCACCCCCACCACCTTGACCCCAGTGATACCTCTCACTTCAGACTAGACCAGAGCATCTACACAGATGTAGATGAGAAATAAGAGCTCATGACACATACAACCCAGGGGCAGGAATGGGAAGAGAGATACCAGATGGGAAGGGGGAAGGAGGAGAAGAAGGGGAAACTGATTGACGCACAACCACACACACCCCTCCAGGGGAAAGAACAGCAGAAACCACGGGGGAAGGGAGACAGTGGTTGGTGTGAGATATGAAAATAATAATAATTTATAATCTATCAAGAGTTCATGAGGGTCAGGGTGGGGGCTGAGGGAAAAAAGAGAAGCTGATACCAAGGGCTCAATAGAAAGTAACTGTCTAGAAAAGAATGGTGGCAACATATGTACAAATATGCCTGATACAATTGATGTATGAATTGTAATAAGCATTGTAAGAACCCTTAATAAAATGATCAAAAAAAGAAAAAGAATTGTGCATATCCCACTAGTTCTATGGAAAATAATAAAAATAGAAAACAAAAGTAAAACCCAAAAGCCTTATTGAATCAATAGATCAAAAAATTATTTTAAGGTTAAATCAATATTTTAAAATATTAATGAATTATTTTACCTTTATTCATAATGTCTTTGAAAATCATGTGTAATTAACATGTTACACTAACCCATTACCAGCAAGTGTATTTCAATTCATAACTACCCTATACAGGGTTTCCCAGGTTATCTTTCTTTCTCCTGCAGAGCAGCTGGTGGGTTTGAACTGCCAACCTCACGGTTAACATCTCAACACTTACCTATTATCACAACCATGGGTCTTAATTTTACATGTATGGCACATCTCAGTTTGAACTACACCCACATTTTAAATGCTCACAAGTTATATGTGGCTAGAAGCTATCACTTCGGACAGTATACGTGTAAAATAGATGTTAAACCTGTTAGGTCTCAGAGGCTTAAGGAATGTCACGTCACTTGGTCTACAAAAGAAGTGGCTTATGGAGTACAATCTTCCCCAAAGCAGATGTCACTGTCACCAGTAAGCTGGAGTTCTGATGTTGTCCACAAAAGATAGGATAGCACGAATGCTCAGTAAGGGTCACATTACAAAGCCTAAAGTCGACGGAAGTGAACTTAGTGAAATTGATTAGGTTGTAAAACTTAATTACTCATACATGGATAAAGCAGAACCAAAGTAGGGCTTTTTCCTAAGACAGAGAACCGAACGAGACACATACACGAATAATACTCCTGTGAGGTATAGAAAACTCCGGATACATTATAAAAAAAAACCAGGCCAATTTAAATGAATATTTCAAACTGAAACAGAAACAAAAACGTACTGCCACTGAGTCCATTCCAACCTACACTGGCTGTACAGGGCAGCCCATTACTGCTCCTTAGGGTCTCTGAACGATAACATTTAAATCTTTATGGGAACAGGCAACTTCCCATTTCTTCAGAGGAGTGGCCAGTGGATTTGAACTGCTGGCCTTATGGCTAGCAGCCCAACACATAACCTACTGCCCCATCAGTGCCCTGTCTTTCAAACGTAAGCATACTATCACACACAGCAACACTGTCGTATGCAAAAGATGTATTTGTTGTGATAAAATCTATTATTAAAGCTAAAGAAGACACCCCGGCCCCCAACAGCTTTATCCCAAATTCTAACAGTCTGGTCTTGGTTTCACAGTGCACTGTGAACCCATCTCTTGGACTACATTAGAGAACAATGAGCACTCAACTCTTCTCATTTCAAGTTTCAGGACAAGTTTCTTTCACATACTCCAGACCTAAGAGAAACTCCAGACATTACCTAGTTCAACAGCAACTCTATTCTTCCCCACCTCGTACAATGCTGCCCAACACTAGTTATATTGTCTCGAGTGATCGAGAAACACATACCTGTCATACTATTTTAACTGAAAATGTATGTGTTCACCTCAAAAATATAAATGCTATGACTTAGGTAATTTTATTCCTTATTGCTGTGGGCCCTAAACATAGTTATACATTTGTGGATATTATGTATCAGATTTTCATTCATTTTTCTTTCCACTTCTAAATTAATCAGACCAATCTACATCAGAGCTCCTGACAGTATGTTGAATCCTGCATTTGGCACATTGAAATTCACTTTTTATTCACACTTGACACATTTCATGATGACCTTTCCACATTCTGTAGAAAGGTAAATGCCCTTTCTCATTTCTGTCCTACTGCCAAGTTTCAGTGTACGCTCCATCTTATTTAAAATCTGATTTTTCCTCTGGGTACCTTTAAACACTTTGCAATTGAAACTGCCTAATTTCACAAAACTGTATTTCTTGGCTTACAATGGCTTATATTCCATTCTCTACTACCTCTTTCAGACCACTAAAATTTAGCATCTCCTTAAATTCCACTGGCTGACAAAAACAATGCCAGTCAAATCTCATTAGTGAATTTAATCTAGCCAACATCTGGCTGCAATCCTTCAATCACATTTTAGATGTCTTCTATATGAATTCCAAGAGCTTCACTATGAGACTATAGCCCTGTAACAACTTAAAAGCATCATCATTAGGTTAATTTACTCCTAAATAGTAAATCACATTCCAATTAACATATAGCTATGATGGGAAGATACGGCCTCAAATTCTAATCACTTGGGTAATCTAAATGGAACAATTTAGTTCTGCTAACGCTGTCAGGTAGTGGGGAAGACAGGGGCCGCTAACCACAACCTCAGCGTGGGAAGCCAGCAGCGGTTCTTTGGGGGAAGAAGGCTTTCTACTCCTGTGAGTCTGGGAAACCCACAGAGGCAGTTCTGCCCTGGCCTCTATATAGGCTCACGATGAGTCCGAATGGACTTGGTGGCGGTGAGTTTAGCGTTTAAACCCTAATGTCCTCAACAATAAAACAGGATGCCATCATCTATTTACATGGGTTAGTGTGAAGTTATATACAGAATAGAAGTAACATTTCTGGCCCCTCCTTTTGCTTCTTGCAAATAGTATAAAAAAATTTTTTATACTATTTTATTGAGGTATAGTTGATACTCCAATAAATTCACCCAATTTAAGTATAGAATTCAAAGTTGTTTCTTTTTCTTAAGCATATTTACAGAGCTCTGCAACCATCTCACTCCGGTGATTCCAGCACCCCACAAAGATGCCCATTTGCAGATACATCCCTGAATCATTTGCTTC